ATAATGCTACCTTAGAAATAATAGAGTCTACATAGGTACCTTTAGTGGCCTAATGCAAGAAGGTGCACTACAATCCCGAAGGCATGCAGTTCAAGGCCATCAGCTGCTCTGCAAGAGAATGATGGGCAATCTCCTGAGAAATTACTGCTTCTGAAAACCCTCCAGAGGGTCCGCTATCAGTCAGGTCTGACTCTGGTATACAACAGCAACTTTAGAAAGATTTCATAACATCCCTTTTATCAGCTTTGTCAGCATTTTAAAAACTTTTAGTATATGGAAATGCTTTCTAATCATGTGCTGGAATCTCAGCTCTTCAAAACCAGAAATAAACATAAAACGTATACCCAAAGCTATAGGTGATGGACTTAGGACCATTATTTCCTACCAGCAGTCTGGTGAATAAAATTAGAAACATGTAAAGAAAATCTTTAATGTTTCACTTTTCACCCCATAAGCCAGTTTTGATAATTGCTATCATCAAGATCAATCCAAACTAAAAAGCAAACATTGAGAACAGTATTATATTTACTTGGCATCCATATCAAAGACTTACATGTTACTCAGATTTTATTGACGTATTTATATTCATTTTACATATTTAATTCACATGTAATTCTATAGTCTATTGCATGTAAATGTATATTAACTTGTGAAGAATCATTTTATCTAACATCTGTCCCAGAGATGTTATTTTTAATTGTTTCTTTAAAGAAAGGGCCTAACTTTCATAATGTTTTATGTAGCGCATCTTTCTTTTATTGAGCGTTTTAAACAATTGATAAGTATTATTCAGTGGCATATGGTCTGAGTCTAATGTGCTTTGAAAAGAGTACAGAGTTCTGATAATGAGGATTCTGTGAAAATGGGAAAACCAGCACAACAGATATGCTTTGAGAAAGTATGGGTTTTCAGCATCTTGAAACAATATATCACACTCAGAGAGACAGAATTGTGCTACGCAATCTGTTAGCTCATTCTTGTCCAATCTGGTCTCCTCCTTTCTTTTGGAGCCAGCATTGTCATCAACTCATTGAATTATATTCTGACTGGAATGTATTTCAGGCATAGAGTAATGTATCTACTTAAATGGAATCCTATCTTTCTATAAAAGCTTTTGGAGTATAATAAATTTAAAATATAAAAAAAAATTCTATTAAGTTAAAGTAAATGTTTCAACCGTTTACATATGTGCCTTCTCTCCCACCACTCAGAAAAGGCCACTACTTAGAGGAATATATATCTGTTACAATATCAAATAATTTTTATGTTTAACTATCAGGTATCAGATACATTTTCAAAGGCTTTTTATTGCAAAGATATGTGTAAATTAAAACCAATGTTAGCTGAGCAGAAATAAACTATAAAATTAAATTGTTCTTTATTAGTATTACAACCACTATTTTAAAACTCTGAAAGAGGTGATCTTAACCAGAATTAAGCCTAATGCCCTAAAATATTCATTGTATGTAATGAATGAATGCATCTCTCTTGCATCTAGAGTGGTACTTGCTATCCTCTCGAGAAACGTCAAATTAGTAACTCAGTTATTTTTTTGTGAGTCTAAAATACTCTCACAAAATCAGGCTTGGAAAAGTTAACTGAATCATCTAATTTTAAAATCATTGTCTTGTTCATAATTGAACAGGGAATTAAATTTAAGCTGCATTGAAGCGCAACTATAAATTGTGTTTTTTATAATTTTGAAATAGTTCTAAATTAATCAGAAGAAAGTGTAATGAGTGGAGTTTTATTTTTATATATGAATGCTAATATTCTTATAAAGATTTTATGTCTTTTTATCTAGTGAGATAGATAGTTTTCTTTAATGCGTTGATGATATTAATTTGGGGAGGAGGGGTACCCATTTTAGAGAAACAACATTCCTAGCTGCTGAAAGATTTCCATCTTTTACTACTATTTCAGCAGACTTCCTACTCTAGGAATTTTTTTACTTTTTTTTTAAGATTTCCTATGGTAAATGGTCTCTTACTCTTTGAATATGATCAGCATAGCCACTTTGTTATTGTTCGCTATCCTGTTGATTCTGATTTATAGGATACAGAACTGCCACATAGTGGGAGCTCTGATAGCTTGTTCTTGTAGTTGTTGTTTTTGCTGTGTTGTCCAGTCAACTACAACTCATAGTGACCTTATGCACAACAGCTCAGAACCCTGCTCTATCCTGAGCCAATCTCCCTGTCTCTGGCACACCTACCCTCGTTAACCCCAGATACTGTGTCCATTTCATCCTGGGCCTTCCTCTTCTGCACTGTCCCTTCACCCTTCCAAACATGATGCCCTTCTCTGAGGACTGATCTCTCCTGGAAACATGCCCCATGTATGTGAAATAAAGCTTCAAAATCCTTGATTCCAAGGATCAGCTTGGTTTCAGCCTCTCCAAGATATATCTGCTTACTCTCTTGGCAATCCATGGTATGTTCAGTACTCTTCTTCAGCACCACAACTCAGAGACATCAATTCTTCAGTCATCTTTGGTCATTGTCCAGCTCTCTGATGCATAGCAAATAATCAAAGACCATGGCTTGGATCAGGTGCACCTTAATCTCTAGACAGACATAATTGCTCTTCAGCACTCTGGGAGGTCACTGACAGCAAATTTGTTGTTGTTGTTGTTGTTGGGGTTTTTGTTTTGTTTTGAATTGTGATTTTAATAAAAGTTTACAGAAAAGTTGAACTTTTCTTTCACTTGTTGCACATTTTCCTCCTTACCCTGCCCTAAGTTCACTTTAAAAAAAAATTAAAATATATATATATATATATAAGAAATACATATTTTTTTCAGTCATAGTTACACAGTTTTCTCCCTCCTCCCCATACGCCTCCGCAAGTCCACTTTGCTATGCACCTCTTATTCTGGACTGTTGTTTTACAAACAATGCCTAATCATAAATTCTTTTTAAACAGTTTTTCCTTCATCTGTCCCAATGCAGTGTTCCTTATTTATCCCCTCTTTTCTTAGTTTTCCCCCAATCCCCCATGTCAGTCCTGTTTTATAACAGTGGTAGTATGTAGTATGCCCTTTTGTGACTGAAATACTTCACTCAGCATAATGTCCTCTAGGGTCACCCATGTTATGTAATATTTTATAAATTCCTTGTTTTTCAGTTCTACATAGTATTCCAACATGTGAATATACCACCACTTCTCTATCCATTCATTTGTTGATGGGCACTTGGATTACTTCCATCTCTTTGCTCTTGAATACAGCAGCAATAAATATGGGTGTGCATATATCAGTTTGGCTGGCAGCTCTGGTTTCTTTAGGGTATATTCCTAGTTGTGGAATTGCTGGGTCAAATGGTATTTCTATTTCCAACTTTTTGAGAAAGCACCATACGGCCTTCCATAGTGGTTGTACCATTTTACACTCCCATCAACAGTGAATAAAGGTTCCAATCTCTCCACAGTCTCACCAGCATTAATTGTTTGCTGCTCTTTTGAGCTTTGCTTTTGTTACTGGAGTGTAATGATATTTCAGGATTGTTTTTATTTGCATCTCTCTGAGAGCTAGCAATCTTGAACATTTCTTCATGTGTTTGTTTGCCATCTGAATGTCTTTTTTGGTGAAGTGTCTGCTCATATCCTGTGTCCATTTTGCAGTTGACTTGTTTACCTTATTCTTGTTGAGGTGCTGGATGGAGTATTCTATACATTTTAGATATGAGTCTTTTATCAAATACTCCCAGCAGGTTTTCCTAACGCAATTTGTCTTTTGATTTCTTGACTGCTGGTGCCAAGAGTGTAGACTGTGGAACCTAACAAGCTGAAATTGTTATTTGAACCCATCAACTGCTCTGTAGAAGGATGAAAACTCTCCTCATGTGTCATTTACTGCCTCTGAATACCTGCTGTAGAGTCAGTTATGAGTCAGTATATACAATAATACAATAACCATAGACAATACACAATAAACCTTTATGGAATTAAATTTCCATATCTTTTTTCCCATAGAGCAAGTAGTAGGTTTAAACCTTCAAACTTTTGTTTGGCAATTGAGCCATTAGCCACTATCATATCTGTGTCCCTAACATTTTCACAGAGCACCACAAATTATACATATATTATTCAAGTTATTAACAAGAAAGGGAGAGAAAAGCCTGAAACTAATTATCAGAGCAAGAACACTTCGCACATTAATTTTTTAACAGTGTAATTTAAAGATATGTTGTAAATGGCCAACAGATAGTACTTTATAACTTATGAGCCACAAGCACCTTTCTCTATAGCATACATTTGTAGTCACTAATTTATTCCTTGCAAATGTTAAGGGAAATGTGAATTTATGTTAATACAGTCTGTATTCAAAGCAAAATTAAGTGGTTTATTCATTACATACAATCCAATGGTAAATAATATTCTGATTTATCTTTGTCACCTAAGCTGTGTGATTTTTTATTTTTACTTATGAAGCCAACATCCTTTTTTATGGATTCAGTATATATGAAAGACAGCTTGCTCTTATGTAAGAAAACTTGGTATGTTCAATATCTACTCAAAATTAAAAGAATAAGAAAGAGCAACTGGACTGTTTCAGTATATATCTATCCCTGGCCTTGTGTATTTTTTGCTAAATTGTAGCATGAAATTTAAGATTTGCTGGCTAGAAATTTTTGATACTTTCATGATCCATTTTAAAGAGTTATTATTAAGAGGATAGGTCATTGTTCCATATATTTTTCCTTTGATACCTACAAGTACTATGAATAGATTTAAGCTTTATTTAATTATCAGATATTTGTATTCAAACTAGATAGATGTTTTTAATTTATACTTTAATCCTTACTAATGTTTTTGTTGTTATGTGTCATCAAGTCAATTACAGCTCATAGTAACATTATACACAATAGCTCTGAACCCTGCCCTACCAGACACAACAACATAAAAATATAGGTCCATCTAATTAGTGAGATACCTACTTATAATCTTAAAATGTATTAAAATCTTGTAACTGTGGAGTTTGTATTGTTCTTTTGTTCTAGATGGACAGCATCATTGCAACACTAAAAGATTCTAACCTGAAGCTGACACTTGCTTTTGGAATAGGAATGCATCATGCTGGACTACATGAGAGGGACCGAAAAACAGTAGAAGAACTGTTCGTGAATTGTAAAGTTCAGGTATTTTCCCGCCATGAATTGTTGTTGTTGTTGTTGTTGTTGTTGTTATGTGCCGTCAAGTCATTTGCGACTCATAGCGACCCTATGCACAACAGCTCTAAAACCCTGCTCTATCCTGCGCCAACCGCACTGCCTCTGACACACCCATCCCGATTACCCCAGTCACCGAGTCAATCCATCTCATAGAGGGTTTTTTTCCTCCTGCGCCGTCCCTCCACCCTCCCAAGCATGATGTCCCTCTCCAAGGACCGGTCCCTCCTGGCAACATGTCCAAAGTATGTCAGACGAAGCCCCAGAATCCTTGCCTCCAAGGAGTAGCTTGGTTTAATCCTCTCCAAGATGAATCTGTTTGTTTTCCTGGCAGTCCATGGTACATTCAGTACCCTTCTCCAGCGCCATGGCTCAAAAGCATCCACTCTCCTTCTGTCCTCCCTAGTCATTGTCCAACTCTCTGATGCATAACAAGCGATTGCAAAGACCATGGCCTGTATCAGGCACACCTTAGTCTCTATAGAGATACTGTTGCTCCTGAGTACTTTAGAGAGGTCCCTAACAGCAGACTTTCCCATCGCAATACGCTTTTTGATTAGACATTTAAAAATTTATAAGTTATATTTTAATTAAATATAAGAGAAAATCTTTTATCTTATAGGTTCTTATTGCTACAAGCACATTAGCCTGGGGTGTAAACTTTCCAGCTCATTTAGTAATTATTAAGGGAACAGAATATTATGATGGAAAAACAAGACGTTATGTGGATTTTCCCATCACAGGTAACTTTTCAAATTTTATAGAACTATATTAGTCTTGTATTTTAGCCTTGTTAAGCTGAATTTGAATGAGTTAAATATTGGAATATTTTTCACCTTTAAATATATGATGAGCAGATTATAATAGTTTTTTTGTTAGCACAAATACTATGTAAAATGCTTAACTGTTTTGCTTTTTTGTTTAACTTGCCATTTATCATAATAAATGAACATAATTACTAGTTTCAAATTCCTAAGTAGATAAAAAAACACAATAGTAGCTATTGTTGTTGTGTACCATCGTTTTGGAGGGAACCCATAGCTGATCCTCTGGCAGGTGACTAAACATTGTTATCATTTAAATACATTTCACCAAAAATGACACTTGATGAAAGTTTTTGAACCAAGGTATTTGTTGCTCCAATTTGTTCATCAACAGTCCATTGGGATATATTTAAACTCTTCATAAAACATACCAGTGAATTCTAAAGAGAGATATATATTCTTTTATTTCCCTCTATATAAGTTTGACTTTATCTTCAACAGCATTTTGAAACATATAAACCAAGAAATATGTCACTTATTTTACCTTTTTTAAAAATTTTATTATTTTTTTCTGTATGTACCATCAAATCAGATCAGACTGGTACAGGAGAAGATTGTCCCTCCTTCTCCGGCAGAACATATGGTGGATTTGAACCGCATACCTCTGGGACTGCAGTGCAGCTTCTTGCCACTAGGCCACCAGAGCTCCCTTATTTTACTTTAACAGTAAGAGGCACTCACTCAGAGACCCAAATTTCCATGATAGTAACATAAAATAAGTATTTAATTACACATTTTCGGAGAAAATAAATCGATCTAAAGAATTCAAACATGAATACCAGAGATATAATTCCTTGGTTGTAAATACTATCTTTGTTAATCTGTGTTGGGTAAACAGGTGAGAATCAGTAAATGCACTATGTGACTATGTAACACTTAATCATTACTTACAACTTTCTGTCCACTCTTTTTATAGATGTACTCCAGATGATGGGGCGTGCTGGGAGACCCCAGTTTGATGACCAAGGGAAAGCTGTAATTCTAGTCCATGATATAAAGAAAGACTTTTACAAAAAGTTTCTTTATGAACCATTCCCAGTAGAATCAAGGTAAAATTTTCTTTAAGCTTGTTTAAATGGAATTAATAGCAATTTGTTGCTTGTGTTATGTTTTATTAGCTAAAAAAGTTCAATATACTATACATTTAATTCAAAAGTATTATTTGAAATGAAACTGGATATAATTATCCCTATTAAACAACATTCCACTGTAAATTTCCGTTTTAGAATTGAATCTTTAAAGTAGTACTTTAGTCATGTTCAGTTGTACTAGCTCTCAATCCATCCAGCCTGGGTTCAAATAGAAATTTTTCACCTCTTACTAGCTATGTGATCTTTAGCAATGTCTTTAACTCCTCATCTACATGAAAACAACAACTCTAAGCTGTCCCTCCAGTGAATTTTTGGATGTTGTGAATACATAGGAGGAAATTGCCCACCTTTCTCCCACAGTGTGGATAGTGGACTGAACCACATAGAGGCACCACCTTTGGGTGAGCAGTACAACTTAACGTAAACTATATCACCAGCGCTCCCTAGCAGGAGTATAAAGGAATGTGGTTTCTAATAGAATAAAGAGCATCTAGAAAACTGTATTGCAAATGTTTGTAGTGAAATGTTGAAAGCTTTCCTCTTGATATAGGTGATAGTGGAGAAATGTTGCTCTCTCCACTTCTAGGAAGCTAAAGGCTAAAGGCCTTGCAATTAGGCAGCAAAAATAAAGGCAGAATATCCTTTTCAGCAAAGGTTGTTGCTGTTTGCCATCAAGTCAGAGCTGACCCTCCAGTAGGTTTTGAATTTCACCAAAGATAGTGACTAGAAAGGAATGCAGGAAGAGCTTCTGGGTACTGGTAATTCTCTTTATCTTGTAATTGATGATGTTTATACAGTTGTGTTTATGTTATGAAATTTTATTGTTATACATTTATTATTTATTTTCCTATACTTCTGTAAATATGTTTAAACTGGTAAAGTTATACCAAGTTATAAGTATATATTTTGTTCATAGGGTCGCTATGAGTTGTGCTCGACTCGATGACAATCACCAACAGCAACATTTTATCTGTTGCACAATGTAATCCATAGTTTATACAGTTATTTCTCTATTAATAAACTTTTAAGAGAGCCTCAGATTTTTCCTCTAATCTATCATGCTGCAGTGTAATATTTTCTTTCCTATCTGCTCATATCTAGCAATTAAAACCAGTAAAAAAATGAAGATGCAGAGTCACAGTAATTGTTTGAGTAGGTATAGAGAAATTGACCATAACAATTTATTCTCTGCCAAAGCAACTCATTTTTTTCATTGAACTTATTTCCATTTTTCATACCCTAGAAACATCCTTTGCAAAAGCTATTTCTAATAACTGCTTCATAGAATATAAAATTTGGATTTTGACTAAGTGGTGATAAAGTTTAATGTGAATCATTTAATATTCATGTATATTTCTCTTCTGTTTTTCACCATACAGCTTATTAGAAGTACTCTCCGACCATTTAAATGCAGAGATTGTTGGTGGCACAATAACATCTAAACAGGATGCAATGGATTATATCACTTGGACTTACTTTTTTCGACGTCTTGTCATGAACCCCAGGTAAGTGTAGGGCTTCTTTGTTGAGCTTCTTTGTTTTACTAAAGAAAGCTATCTCAAAATTCATGTCTCTGTATGGTGTGTGTGTGTGTGTGTGTGTGTGTGTGTGTGTGTATACACACATAACTTTGTTCAGAATATCAGATGATGTCTTCAACATGATCACAACGTGATGAGTTCTTAGCAGAAGAATAAGTTTACATGTATTAATTAAGTTAATTAGAATATCTCAGATTATTAATTTTATGATGAACTACATGATAGTAGATGACTGGAATCACAGGAGAAAATCAGGAAGGAGTCAAGTATATGAAATTGTAGGGGCAAGAATGTGTTACGAGTTTATAAGGATTGATAGGGACACTGCAAGAGGAAATAAAACTGCTGAGTGGTAGAGTGTCTTTTACTCCAGTGTGCATAGCATAGATCTTTATTTAGCACCTACTGTTTTTCAGGTATCATGCTACACAAAGACATGAAGATGAATACATCAACTCCTATAGTCAAGGACTGATCTTTTAAAGTGTGGAAAAAAGATACACAGATCATGCAGTGTAAAACATAAGCACTCTAATAGATCTTTGTAAAAGCCTATGAGAGTGAAGACTTCACAGAAAAGGTGATGCTTGAATCAGATCTTGAAAAAGCAACAGGAATAGAAAAGATAGAAGTCATTTCAAATGGAAAAAACTTTATATGCATAGACCTTCAGAACTTGAAACAGTCATAAGTGTTTGTGGAATACCACGAAATTCGATGTAGCCAGAGCTTAAGAAATGAGGGGACACAAAGATTAGAACCCAAAAGTAGACCAGTTGCTAGAGTGAAGAGCCTACATACCATGCTAAGGATTTTTCACCCAAACTTACTGAGTGTGATGAGGTACTGAAGGTGTATAAATACAAATTAACACTATAAAATTAGTTTGGTTTTGTTTCATTTAAATACTCACAGCATTATAATAAAAACTTCTTTGGAAAAGAAAACTAATAACAAAGATAAGAACATTTTACCAGGTGCATATAGAATTTAAAAAGGTATTAAATATGAGAAATATTACTAAAAAAGAGGGACTATTATAACATTGTTGTCTTAAAGAGAGAAATTATAAGGAAAATATTATTACTACTAAATGTTATGTTATGTTTGTACCTTAAAAACTTTGTTTACTCATCCTAGATTCCTGTTTAGCATGTTTGAGAATGCAGTGATGTTTTGCTCACAATTGTCTGACTGTTAAGGGTCTCTGAATTAGGAACAAATTCTCATTTCATGGAGTGTGACTGCATTATCAGTGAGATAGCCACTCAGCACTGCACATTTGGAAAGTCTGTACAATTAGAATCATAAAATCCTCTACTGTTAAGAGATTGCCTATGGACCCTAGTCCAGCCATAGTGTTCAATATTGAATATGTTTAGTGGAGGCTAGGAAACCTAGATGGACTTGCCCAAGTCACTTAGCTAGTTTTTGTTGAAGCCAGGACTTCTGGCTAATAATCCAGAACTCTGTTTTTCCTTTTAGCTTGATGTGTAATTATAGATCACTACAGTTACAGTCTTTATTTTTATAGCTGCTGATTTTCTTATCTCACTACTGCTCTTCCTAATTGTTTCGTCTTGAGTCACTTCACCTCTCTAAGCTTCACTTTCTTCATCTGGAAAATGAGTTATAGAAGCATGTTAAGAATCAAATAAACACGTTAAATTCTTTCTAAGTGGTATATTAATTGTGAAGAGCATAATAAGTGCCAATTAGTGAGCTGTTATCCCTGTGCTCCCTTCCAATTATTTTAGACTGATTCCTCACTTATTGTCTGACTCATTATTTGGCATTATGCATTCATCACAGTAGTTAAAATTCTACTATCAATCATCTATTTTATAATTTAATGATACACATCTAACAGTGACATGTCAACGTGTGATATAATAGTATCACTGGCTATAATGGTTGAAGCTATGTGTCTGTTTGGCTGTGCCATAACTCAGTGGTTTACCAGTTAATTTGGCAGGTATATAATATTGTAGTCCTCGTCTGTTTTTTGATCTGATGTGGTCATCCTCCATTTTCACGTAATTAAAATTTTTACTCTTCTTCAAGCACCACAATTCAAAAGCATCAATTCTTCTGTCTTTAACTATCGTGCAGCTTTCTGATTCATAGCAACTAATTGCACATTGCAATATTTTGCTTTGTCTTCTCGAGCTGCCCTTTGAAATCTTCTTTTCATCTCTTTGATTTCATTTCTGTGTTTTGACTTCTCAATGCTCTAATGCAATTTTCGATCTCTTCTGACATCCATTTTCATCTTTGCTTTGTAAAGACCTTTTTCTCTCTTCATGATGATTTCATCCTGTAATTGATCTGATTCAGCTCCTCAATCATATTCTGGAAATTATTTTTAAATTTAAGTGGGATAGATTCAAGGTGATATTTTGGTTCTTATAACTTGTTTTCATTTTCTTCAGTTATTAGAAGGTAATAGCAGTTGCAAGAATATGGCCATCTCACATCAGAACCTTAAATATATAAAACAAACATCGAAAGGAGAAATAGTTGTACAGTAATAGTTGGAGACCTTAACATACTACTTTCAGTAATGGACAGACACTTAGAAAAATGATCAATAAAGAAATAGATGACCTGAATGACAATACAAACAACCAGACCTGAGAGGTATATAGAACACTCTATTTAACAACAGCACAAAAAGTGTTCCTCTCAAGTGATACACGTGAACTAGAGGTAGGCAAAAAGAGCAAAAGCATACTCAAAGGTTACCATACCAGAAGGATGAAAATAACAAACAGCACAACAGAAATAGAAAACAGAAAAATAAAAGAGTTAGAGAAACCAAAGTTGATGAAGGATCAAACAGAATATTGTTCTATTATACATGGGTTGCTATGAGTTGGAACCAACTTAGTGATACCTACTAGCTACACAACAGCAACAAAAACACCAGAAAAAAAGAAAAGTATAGACCAATATACCTTAGGGAAACACGTAAAAATCCTCAGCAATATAGTAGCAAGCCAAATCCAAAAGTCTATTACAAGAATTATCTACCATAATCAGGTGAGATTTAATTTAGTTATTCTTTGTCTATCAAGGACTTGATAAGAGTACTGGCCAACTATTTTAGAATATATTTCAATTTTGTTTTGTCTACAGTTTAACCATTAATAAATTTAAGCTATGTGCTTTTGGCAGGAATACTGTAGAAGTTATTAACGAGATTCTTCTAGAGATTCTTGCTGTTTATTTCTTTGTTAGACAGGTCTGCTCCACTCTCCCTACCAGATGAAAGTCTCATTTCTTCACCAGACTTCTGGTGGTTCCTCATGTATTTGCTATCCTGATTGCAAATGCATCATGTCTAAAACTAAATTAATCATATAAGTACCAAAGTCTTCCTTCAATATTTCTTCTTTGCTAGTGATAATACTCTCTATCTAGTATCCTTGATTTCAAACCTCAGAATTTCTTTTACTTTTTCCTCCTCTTTTGTTCCTAGTTTTTTAAGCTTTATAACCTGCTTGTGGTGTAATCCTAATCTACCCTGATCTATAAACTGTCAGGCATTATTGATCAGAAATTTAATGTACTATATTAGAGATGGGAACTCTAGATGCATAATGTTTAGTTAGTAAATATGCAGTACATTATCTTTAAATTCATGGAAAACATGGGAAGGCTTACACAAAACAATGAATAAGAAACTTTCAGAACTTACATTCTTTCATCTATGAAAATGAGATGAGCCAAGGCACCTCTTGAGTACTGACAGTTTGGAGAATGTCTTCCTCTTGTTGGCTATATTGTTCTGTGTGCCATTAAATCAATTCCTACTTATAACCACCCTATAAACCAAATTAGGATTATATCTCAGTATCAAGAAGACAAAAATTCTCACTGCTGGACCAGTAGGCAACATCATGATAGATGGAGAGAAAATTGAAGTAGTCAATGATTTCATCCTACTTAGATCCACCATCAATACCCTTGATACCAGCAGTCCAAAGGTCAGAAGACATTACATTGAGCAAATCTGTTGTCAAAGACCTCTCCAAAGGCCTGAAGAGATGTCAGTTTAAAAAAACCAGAGATGTTCCTGATTCAGGCCATGGTCTTTCAGTCACCTGCTATGTATCTGAGAGCTAGACAGCTAATAAGGATGACAGAAGAAGAACCAGTGCCTTTGAGTTGTTGATGTTGAAGGAGAGAATTTCCCATGGGCAGCCAAAAGAACAAAGAGGCATGTTTTGGAGAAAGTGCAGCTAGAGAGCTCCTCAGCAGTGAAAATGGTAAAACTTCTTCTCACATACTTGGGGCATGTTGTTAGGAGAGGCGCTGGAAAGGGACAGGAGGATCAGCAAATCAGAGAACGACCCTCAGTGAGATGGATTTAAACAGTGACTGCAGCATTAGCCTCAGGTCTGTCAGATGAGGATGGCACAGGACAGAGTTCACACGTGTTGTTCATAATGGTTGCTGTGAGTCCTACTTGACTCAATAGCACAACAAAAGACAGAGTAGGAAGGTCTGCCAGCCTAGGCTATAGCCTATAGTCGTTTCATTGCTGACCCAGAGCCATTGCCTCCGCTGAGGTTCAAATACATCAGCAGCTCTGTGGAAGAAACATGGATAGTCTCCATCCATGTGACTTCCATGGAAACCCAATTGTAGGTCAGCTGCAAGTGAGTTCCAAGTCAATAACTCATTGTCAGTGAATGAGTGTGAGTGTGCTAAAACAGTACTCTATAAGGGATCACAGTAGGTTGTGATGGGTAGAGGGGAAACATGGAACAAAACTCACAAACACAAAAATGGTTAGGCTTACTGGTATGTTAGAGGCTGGCTGAGCACTTGGAACCTGGAACAAAACTCACCTCCATGGTTCAAGTTTAAGCTGAACAACAAGCAAGCAAATTATAAGGTGAACTGTAATGCTAGAGAGGCACTTACTCTTTAAAATAACCTACGGTGGGGCAAGGAGA